ATGCTTGTAAATATACAAGCATTTGAATCACCTAATCATACTTACTTAAAACAGTTCCAATATGCCAGACACATATGAAAAAGTTGCAGAGAAATAAAGTTCAACATAAAATAACACCAAAAATGCAATAGGTGGTTGTTATTATACAGAGAATTAAAGGAGTCCATAATCAATACATACCAAATTGATCAATGCTTCTTAAAAAGCCTATAAGTGTCCTTCCATCTCGAAGCAGAACCAAGTGCTTTTCTGGAGAGAGGGAAAAGGATCTTTAAAATGAAAGATGTCAGCTTCAGTGAGTTTATATGATAATAAGGAAAATAAAGTTAATAGCAGTTTAAGTATACTACTTCCTCTTTAATGGACTTAAGATGGAATTCACTGGGAAAAAACAGAGGGATGGCCAGGACAGCCTAGGACTTAAATTTGAAGATTGGTGGTAAAAAGAGAAACACAGTAGTGGCAAAAGAGGTAAAAACGTGCAGGGTATGGAGCCAGGAAGCCTAACTGGCTTCATACCCTGATGTTTGGCCCTTAAACCTTCACACTGTTATTTCAGTTTCTGTCTGTAAATTGAAAAATTTAGAAAGGTTTTCAATAAATACAATGCCTTGGGTTGGGGGGATAGCTTAGTAATAGAGCAAGCACTAAGTATATGGGAGGCCCTGGGTTAAATCCGTAGCACCAAAACAAAAGCAAAAGCAACACCTCAGATATTTACAATGAGGACCTAATAAGCTACAGCATAATTCAATATTTATTAAGCAATACAAGCTATTCTGGGGTCTGAACACCAACCTTATGAATTAATATTCATTGTAAGGGAACATAGATAAAAGATAACAAAATTTCAGCCATTCATTTCTTTAATGCCATGCATAAAATACTTTGTAGATGCAGAAAAGAGGGGCAGTGATTTTTGCCTTGAAGGAACTTGTCTTATTCCTTGGACTGTTCTTGCTGTAATCAAGCAAATTGTAATTATATGAGATTTCAGAGAAAATATCATTTACCTAGAGGAGGTATTCAAGTTGGATCTTGAAAGGTAAGTAATTTTTGGTCATGGGAAAGGAAAGAGGGAAGGGGAGAGAAAACTGTAAATTAAGCAAAAGGGACAAAAGGACTATATACCCCTATTATTGGCTAAAGGCTGAGGATGTGAAGGGAAAGAGCAATAGTTAAAGTCAGAATAGTATAGTATTAGGGGCAGGCTTAAATTTGGATTTGAAATCGGACGTGGTGGAACATGCCTGTAATCCCAGCAGCTTGGGAAGCTGAGGCAGGAGGATTGTGAGTTCAAAACCGGCCTCAGCAATGGCAAGCTGCTAAGCAACTCAATGAGACTCTGTCTCTAAATAAAATACAAAATAGGGCTGGGGATGTGGCTCTGTGGTTGAGTGTCCCTAAGTTCAATCTCCAGTACCCCCCCCCATTTCGATTTGACTTCATAAGAAACACAAAAACACTGAAGACTAACAGAAAAGCAAGAGAAGTTATAAAGCTAATGCCTATCTGGGAGATCTCTTAAGATTTCGAGAAAGAAGAAGTCCAAATATGCTACTCAGATCATCTCTTCTGGGGAATAGTAAACAGCAGAAGAGACGAAAAAATTTGCAAAAACCAGAGTTAGAGAAACCAAGAGAACAGAATTAAGAATTCAGTGATGATAGTATCACAATGCTGCTGGAGAGAACTCAGAGGAGAGCCTTAGAATGATTACTTAGGAAGTAGTTTCAATAGTGTGTTGATAGCAAAAAATTAAGATTGCAGAGGTAAAAGAAGGTGGTCAGGAAGTAGAGTTAAACGGAGACGATTCAAGATACCGATAAAGAGATGGAAGTTTGATGGAGAGATAAATCTGAGGAAATATTTGAGATGGACAGACAATAACATATATAAAGGAAAGGATGCGGCAAGGACAAAGAGGCAGAAGACATGAAAGAAAACGTATAATGTAAGAAGATTCCAAAAGCAGTGGAAGGAAACAGTAATTAACAGAAAGGGAGGAATACTTCCTACTCAAATGAGAGAATGGGTGAAAATACAAAAAGACTATGGGGAGGAGGAGAGGGTATATTCTGGGGTGGTGATGTAAAGTCTGTATATCAAGTGGTTTCAAACTTTTTAAGAGGGTCCTGAAATCTACA